CGTGTGTGTGTGTGTATGTGTATTATGTGTGTGTGTATTTGTGTGTGTGTGTGTGTGAGTGTGTATTGAGTGTCTGTTTTGTCTGAGAGGAAGTGGGTGCCCGCATGTCTTTGCGTGTATTGGCTGTGTTGTTTGACTCTGTTTGGTTCGTCAAAATAAAGACGTATAGTGTGATGCTATGGCTTTATTTTTGTCATAAAGAAATTATAATTGATGTTCTTGTCAGGCTTTCATCGATAGTGATGTATATCATGTTCAAACAGATTGTCATGGCATCACTCCAAGCGGTCTACATGTACAGGGTGATCCCAAAAAAATCGTAAAACTTTTTTTTTAAAAATATTTTCCACCACACTGAAGTTTTTCACTTCAAATCTGTACCCAACACTTGGAAGTCAAAAGAAATTTTTCAGATATTCGTTTTAGAAAAATCCACAAAATAGTTTTACTCTACACAGCGCGTAAAAAACAACCTATTTTCAGCTATGTCCCCATGTTTGTAGCATGACACACTAATTTGCATTAGGCCTACCACTAAAAATCCCTACGATTGGGCCATATATTTGCATTTTACAGTAGTCTAAAAAGCCAAAAGAAGTTTGCAGTTAGTTTGTCTCACGTTTCCTTTGCCTGCTGCAATCATGGTTAAGATTGGTAAAGATCAGAGAGCTTTTCTGTTTTGAACATTCCCTCACCACCAACTCATTTCGTAAGTTTCGCACACGGTACGGAAATAATGTAAAAGTGTCCTTAAGGCCTTCTTTGATGTCAAGGGTGGAAACGGTCCATCAGTTAGTACCTGTAGAGAATCAGAACTAAGAATTCCCAGACAAACGACCACTTCAGGTCAAACACACACCGTTTGCACCCCTTTGGACGTCACCAGGGTGCACAATTCGGTATATTATGAGCCCCATGACTCTGTGCGTAGACGATGTCTGCAGCAATGACTTTCCTACATCTCAACTGTCCGCATTCTCAAGGCAGATCTTCATCTACGACTCTACCATTTTCCCGTTCCCGAAGCTATCAGAGGATAGCAATGAGTTCAGAATTCCTCGATCGTATTGAAAAGCGTGAACATTTCCTCTATTACATTTGGTTCCTTGACAAAGCCCATATTCACCTTTCAGGTTATAACAACTCCACAAATACTGCCTATTTTTGCAACCTCACCCTCTCCCCCTAGTGTCTCTAGAAACAACTCGATACTGAAAGATGTACAGTGTATTTGGATTTGAGTACTCATGGTTAAGTGGATCCTTGTGTTTGGCCAGCATTGAACATTACAAACGACGCGTTAAAATGTGTCGCATCCAAAGGATGACATAATATTATACATCATTACGACTTGGAATTCCAGAATTTAAGAAAAATATTTAGCTCTATAGGAACAAAGAAATATTGTTTAAAGGATACAGGGATGGTAAGATTAAAAATAAAAGGAAAGGAAAAGTCAAACCAATCATTTCATGATTTTCGTTACAAGATATTCTAAATTGGTGTATTTTGCATTTAAAAGTGGTTTTTATAAAAGCCATTTCCTTTTTAAAAAATAATATTCTTCTTTGTTAATTTTATCAAACAAATTCCTTTTAAATGAATTATATCTATTCCAAATTACATCACTCAAGTACACATTTTGTGCGAGATACTTAGAAAAAAGGTTGTGCAGTTGTTGTTGTTGTTTTTTGGATCACCCTGTGCTATAAATTATGTATAGTTTCTAAGTTAGTTTCCGGTGGTGTTTCTGTTCTGAAAGTCTCATATTTCCGCTGGGCTCTGTGACCAATTATAAAAATATTATTGCTTCCGATATGCTTCATTTCCTCAAACCATAAACTTGAATTATAATATCCTAGATCAGGCACTGTCATGGGGGCCGTTCTTTAATCTATAAAAACGTTCAGCAACGATGATCACCAGGGGCGCGCAAATGATGGGCAAAATACCAGTATCGCTATAGATGAGTGCTTGTGCAACCTCTTCCTCCTTGCCTTTCCTTTGGTTCCTAATAGAATCAAATGATGCGCCCCACGGTGAGGCGGTTTCACGCCAGAGTGCACTTTCTTGGATTGTTACAATAATATAGCGACAAAAACAAACACTTCGTTCTAAGTTGTAGTTATCGCGTATTGTAAGCCTTCACTGGCATCTGTTTGTAGGATGGGGCTCTGACGACTGTCTCACCAACCTGGACGACTGTAACGGTCATCGGTGTCATGACGGGGCCACCTGTATGGACCACATCGGCTACTACACCTGCAAGTGCCCGCCTGGGAGAACTGGTCAGTAGCTATGCAGATGTACTGTGTCATTTAGGTTACGTTTTATTTATATGTATATATATAGAGAGAGAGAGAAAGATATATATATATATATATATATATATATATATATATATATATATATATATATATATATATATATATATATATATATATAAATATATTTCCAAGAAAGCAAAAACGGACAGACGTAGAGTTGTCCCAGCACGTAAAACATGTATATTTATGCCCTGTCCTGTGTGTATGCGTGAGTGCACCTAACCTTTGTAACACCCGCTGTCATTGAAAATGAATTTCTCCCTGTGAGATGAATAAAGATTGTCATTGTCATTGTCATTACGTAAAGATACATAATGTATTTAACCCTCCTACGGATGTGTGCTATGTCATCCAGGTTACAAATAGATTTATACTGTTTTTACATCCCATGTTTAGCGTTGTCTTTTAATACATATGTAACACTATTTACTTCTATGAAAATATATATTTGCTGCAAGTATGCTCTCCGGCTCAAAAACTGGAGAGGGGGGGGGGGGGCTCTCCTGGCCTAGAGGTTAATGTGTTGGCCTCTCATTCAAAGGTCCCGGGTGTTCGAATCCGGCTAGCGACCAAAAAATTGTCTTCTCTAAAAGACCCTCCTTCTGCGCCCTGAAAAAAGAGCGGGAGGCCCGTTCATTTCCACTTTCTGCCCCCACCCCCTCACCTCCTTTGCCCCTTCCTCTGGGCTCCTGGCGCTTTCTGCAGCCTTTCTACTGCTACTCCTTGGCTCCTCCTTACTGCTGTCTTCCTGCCACACCCCTGATCTTCTGGTAGGAAAGATCTACACCTACCCTTCTCGGACAAGGGCGAAAAATCTCGGAGGGCCCGTGAGCAAGTTGCGCACGTTAAAGATCCCTTGGTGGTCTAAAATCGATAAGAGTAGGCTTCGGCGCCACCCGGGCAAAATTCGAAATTTCCTACCAACTGAAAATATAAGGTGTGTCCCACGCGCTCATATGACCTTAATATGCAGTTGTGAGCGCCGAAAAACACATTACAAAAACAAACAAACAAACAAAAACTGGAGGTGAGTCCAACAGAACGTGAACCTTTGGGGTTTCAAATATTTCTTTATAGTTGAGAAGTTGTGTTTCACTCTGGTCTCTCGGGATCAAATAAAGACACAAAAAAACATTTCTTCAATCGGATAGCATGAGTCTCCCCGATCAACCCTCCCCCCCCTCCCCCTAAAAAACCGGCTCAGATTACAGTTGTAAACTCAGAAAAATGCAAAAGCCATGTCCCTCTTCTGGACATATATTATGTACCGTAATAGACATTCCCCTTCCGTTCTCACGCTCTCTATGGAGATCTTTAGAATTTCCCCTCTTTCTCAGCATTTCCACAAACCATCGTTATGAACACAAATGAGGTCACTATGGGTAACTTTTAACGACATGACTTCATCTTTAAGGTATTTTGATAAACTTCCCCAGCGTCAGCGTCTGTGTCGTTACGGTCAGGCGCTTCGCTGCTGCACGCAGGGGATCCGAGGTCGATTCCCGTGACGGGGGAGGGGGAGAGAGAGAGAGAGAGAGAGAGAGAGAGAGAGAGAGAGAGAGAGAGAGAGAGAGAGGTGGGGGGGGGGGGGGGGGGGGGGGGTATCGATCATCTCAGTTTGTCTGCTTAAACATTGTATCTCCCTTTATCCAGGCTGTTTCTGACAGGCAGGGCTATCGCGATCTACCTCTTAAATCATCTAAATTATGTCAATGGAGGCATAAGACTTTCACAACAACAACAAAAAAAGAAAATCTGTACTCATGCCGACCGTCTTTTCTACGTCAACCTGTCACTACCTTAAAATTACAATGTTTTATCTGCTCAGTACTTAGTTTTGAGAAATTTGACGTCAAAAACGTTGTTTCACAACATGTCAAGTTTTTTAGAACGTAATTCTTTGAATATCTTGATAACTACTCCGAATAATTTTACGATTTTGATAGAGCATATGGAATTAGTTTCTGACCCTATGATCTTAGTAACTCAAAACAGTCAAAAATGCCAGGTTGAACTTTGTAATTCTAAAGTAGCGATGTCATTATGTCCCCACAGGCGTGTACTGTGACGGTGAGATCAACGAATGTGCCAGCTCACCATGTCATAATGGTGGCACGTGTGTTGATGAAAGCAACGGCTTTACTTGTGAGTGTCCTGAGGGCTGGGCTGGCCTGCTCTGTGAGATCAAGATCGTGCCGTGTAAAGTGGATAACTGCGTGCACGTGAGTTAACTATTATCTTCCATGGCTTGCTGTGGCGCGTAATGAAAGTTGTTTCCTTTTCAAAACAGAAAGATCTCCTATTTTTCTTTAGCAGATGAAAGTTTCGTTGTGTCGCTCGTTTTCAGTAAGAATGAACTTTTTCACTTTTCCCCCCTTTTTTTGAAAAGGGAAAGGGGGGGGGGGCAGCCCAGTCTGTAAAGAGACGTGGTACAGTGAAAATTATTCTCTGATGCTCTGTCAATATGTCTATATTAACGGTGGGTGTGTGCCGTGCCCTACGACTATGCATTATGCTGTGCTTGTTCACGCAAATTGATACAATGAATTTGCCGAAATCTAAACAGCTATAGAAAACGGCAAGTCTTATTCCCCCCGACTAAAGGAATAAATAGACATAATTTGAAAACAAACAGGGATGAAAAAAAGACTGATGGATATGGTCAGATTAATAATGATACCATGTGGAGCTCACCATTTTTCACATTGCAATAGGTCAAACAGACAGGAAAAATTATTCACCACCTCGCCCCCATAAAACCCAGGACATTTTTAAGTTTCACGGTTTCACTGATACATGTATTATTGTACGAGACAGATTTATGGCACATATACATACAGGAAGGTTTTTTTTTTGAGGCAGCTACTCTGAATTCAAAGTTTTTACATATTACCGAGCAAAATTTAATTGCAATGAGACATAATATTATTATTATTCATTTTTTTTAAAACTCCTTCGGGATACAAAACGGAGTCAGCCAGGCCGTAGTCCAGCATGTCAACATCAGGGTTATAACCGTGCCTTGCTGCTTATTCAAACCCAAACACCTATTCAATCTGAGCCGGACTTCCCCAGGGCTACTGCACGATGGAAAACGGCGATCCCACCTGTAAGTGCTACGAGGGGTACACAGGTGAGCTGTGTGATGCGCCTGTGAGCAGCTGTGCAGACAATCCGTGCCAGAACATGAAGAGGTGCGTGGACTTGGAGGGCGACTACCGTTGTGTGTGCAAAGAGGGATACACAGGTCGGTGGCTGTCAGCGCGTAACACAGCCGTTTGGTTTTGTTGCTTTTTAATGTATGTGATTTCATGTTAATCGCCTCTATTGATACAACTTAGATCAGTTAGGAGGCGGGCTTCCAACCTACCTGTCAAGGCCACCCATATTTCCATCCGCCCATCCATCCATCCTTATTTTCATAGATCCACTCATATATTCATCAGTCTTTTCATCCGTTCATCAATTCATAATATTAGTTTATCACAATCATTACTTCTACTGAAGTCTCGTGCCACTCCCTCCACGAGCCGAAAATGCATCCTTTCTTTTCGATCCATCCATCCATACCACATAACATTCCACAATTTCAGCAAAATTGTCACTGCCAGGGGACATGTTCATCTTCGTATCATAACCACGAAAACAGGACCAGGTACTTCTATTAAATCAACACAGTAGCCGTTGGGGTTCTTACGTTGTGCAAACATCATCATCATCATCCGGTGCTTTGCCCACTGGCAGGGGCGATCATGGACATCCACTTCACTCTGTCTTACGTTGCAGCGATGGTGTCTGTCGGTCTTGCTGTTCTCAGCCATGTTGTCAACTTGTCCAATATTATCTTGTCCCTTTGTCTGCCCCTGCCTTTCTTTCCATCAAACTTGCCTGTTGTTACAATATTTTCCAGTTCTTCTTTCCGTATTGTGTGTCCAATGAATTTTCCCTGTCGCTTTCGTATATTCGTCATATGCTGTCGTCTGCAATTTGCTTCAACCAAGACTATTACATTTCATGCAAACATGCATTAAACTAAAACATTTAGATACACCTTAATACCTTAGTGCAATCCCTCTCTCGTTTTCCCTTCCCTTACCCCAACCCCACTCAAC